GAAAGTGATTGAATATATATTTATGAAAAGTTGAAGAAATGCAATATTATTATTTTTAATTACAAAAATTACCTAATTTTTTTTTTTGTTACTTATTTTCTTACAAACTATGGTGATGAATACCAAAATTATTCAAAATATAAAAAGTTGTATGACATTCCCAATGATTTTCAAAATAAGAAAAAAAAACTAAAATGAAGAAAATTGTTGAGATAATTCTTAGCCAAACTCCTCATGATGTATTAACGTTGGGTAAATCTAATAGGCTGCAGGAGTGTTCGTTCAACATATTGTCATATAACTCATATACACTTAACATATTACTGAAAAAGTGGTATACAACAATAGGGAAATCAACTCGTACATACCTCTTAATAGCCCGGGAATCAACTAACACATAAAGTAAGTCTCGGGAATCAACTCAACAACAGCGGGTACGAGTATCGGATTAATTTAGTGACCGGGCTTCACGGACTAAAAAAGGCTCGTTTCAAGCCCGTACAACAGTAGGTTTGTCTATCAATGCAAATTAATCAGTCTCTGGTGAAATTATTAAATCATTGAATTGAGAAGGTAATAAACAATTAATATAATATATTACATTAGCATATTCTTTATTATCAATTTAAAATTTTAACTTATCCATGTATTTTATTTTGTGGATATTATATTCTTTGATTTTTCCTTGGGAGAATATTTTTATTTCAATTCCAATTATTAACTATTGTAACAAATACATAACCAACTTAAAATAATAAAAAATAGTTACCGCATATAAACGATTATTCAGGACTCCGACCCCAAAGTCATATCTTGTAGTACACATACTAGATATCTTACTCCATTCTTGAGTATTGTAATCGAAAACTTCTCCAGTATCTAATGTACCAGCATTATCATTATATCCGCCGACCTTAAATTAATTATATAATTTATTGTTACTTACTTTACAACATAAATAACAAAAAAACTAATAAGTTATAATTCAACTTTACTTACGGCATATAGGTAATTATCGATAACACCAACTCCCAAAATATCTCGTTCAACTAACATGCAAGCACTTGGTTTCCAACAAGGTGATTCTGAAGATAAATCTAGTACATCAACAGACCGAAGAGATTCAACATCATCATCAAAACCACCCACAGCAAACACTAAATTATCTTTCACTACGGCTAGACCAGCTCTTCCACGGCTTGTAATCATTTCTGGTCCATAATGCCATCGGTCCATTTTTGGATCGTACCATTCTGTACGCTTACTTAATTCAGTCTCAATTCCACCAACAGCTAAAATAACCTGTAATAATTAAATAATTAAATATATTGTAAAAATAAATAAATTATAAAAGAATCATACTTTATCTCCATATCTGGGTTTATTCCTAATGTTTTGTGAAATAAGCTCCACTGACTTGAGTATATTATTATGAAAATTTAATGCCTCATTTATGTAATCCTTACCTTAAAAAGTATTACATAAAATACAAATTAATTCAAAATTAAAGCATATATATAGAGAAAACTTACATTTAAAACAATTCTTAATAAGAGGCTCCTCAACTACTTTTTTTAATATGTAATTTTTTGATGTTAATGGTAAACGTACGTGCTTCATTAATTGGGGTAAAATACATTTTCTTGAATCCGATTCATGGTTCACCCAACGAATAACACTTTCAAATACCTAAAACAATATATAAGCTTTATAAGTTAATTAGAATAAATATTAAATATATTATGTAGGTAGGTTACTGAATATTTCCTTCCCCAATACCAAAATATAACTAACAATAATCATTATGAATTTCCATACTTTTTCTTCGGATGGAACTATAAGTTTATCACTGGAGATCAACTTAATGACTTGTTCGGATGATAAGGATAGGAATTCGTCATCACCAAAAACTTCTCTAAGAATCAAAATATAACAATATTAAATAAAATGTCCTTATAAATATTAAATTGTATTTCGTACGAAAAGTTATGTTGAATATATAATTCTGAACTTGTTGACAATTTCGTACAGCTATGTAAATCAGCTATAGCGTATATAAAAATACAGTTAGTAGTGCAGAGTTGTGTCTGTAAAAAATCACAGCATACATCTTTTACTTCTTCTAACTGCAATAGATTTGCAGCTGATAATAAATCCTTGAGAAAAAAAGAAAAAACCATTTAGATGTTTTTTTTTCTATAAAAAAATTAAACTTTATCTAATATTACCTGGACGTTTTCTTCAGTGACCAAGATTTTCCCAGAATAAATAAAGTTTACTAACAGTTGTAAAGCAGTAGAATCTAACTGTTTCATAACAACAAGATCATGGTTCCTTTCTGCAAAATTTGTGAACATTGCATGGAAATATGGACTAGCCGATGCTAAAACCACTTTATGTGCGAATATATTTTTGTTATCATCTTTTCAAGTTTAACATCACAAAAACCTCACCACTAAAGAAAAAATGGTTCTTAATATTTTCTGTCATTTTAAGTCACTCACTCCAGGCTTACTACTTACTTGCGTAAGGATTGTAGTACCTCATATACCTCTGAATAAGAAGTTTGTGTTTATATTCGTATTCGCTGGATCATCACTATTTGGGTTCTGGTATTTGCTTTGTACTTTGCATTGTGAATTGAATTTCAAGCCCAGAATTTGAGACTAAAAAAAGAGCATTTTAAAATCAATCAAAAATATGGATAAAAATCAGTTTATAATAATGATTGTCTATGAAATTAATCATCTTGACATTGTGTGTAATTCAATTATATAAAATAATTGTATACGAACGTGATTCTGATTGAACACGTCTGTCAGCCTATATTACTCATAGGCACTAAAGACTCGCTGCGATTTACGCACTAGGCACGATAATATTTATGGGCGTGTAAACTCTTCCGATTGTATGGGTAAACTCTCCCGATTTTAAACCAGTAAACTCTCCCGATGGTAAACTCTCCGGGTCATTATTATATTTACCTGAAGGAAATGGGTAAACTCTCCCGGGTCAATATTATGTTACACTGAAGGAAATATGGTAAACTCTCCCGGTACACTTTATGTTTACCTGAAGGAAATGTGTAAGCTCTCCCGGGCCCATATTATGTTCACCTGAAGGAAATGTTTAAACTCTCCCGAGTTGTTTTAAATGTGACTGCTACAGTATGAATTACTCATTACCATACAGGGCCCTCAGCATCATCATCAACTTCCAAAACAACGAATGCTTGTGAATCGTTCCATTCGCATTTCAATTCATTGTCTCTAGTACTCATCCATCTCTATTTATATTTATTAATGCCCTACAGATTTTCCAAATGAAGGGTACATTAAAATGCAAAAGTTGTAACAAACCAATAAATCAAGTAAAAACTCACATACAAAAAATAAAGAAAAAATAATAACACAAAAAATAATACACTACACAAACAAAGAAATAGATACCTTAAGTTTTTTAAAATCAGTGTGTTCTTATTATCATAAAAATTAGTATTTTGAATATTTACATTGATTATTTACATTGATTTATTATTATTATTATTATTGATTGATTATGTGTATAATTGACTTTTTTTTAAATTACATTTCATGACTTTTAATTTATATGTATTTTGACTATAATTATTAATTATTGACCCTGGAAGTTAATGGCATTTATTTTTATTATTATTTTTATATAATTGACTTTTTTTGTGAGTTGTTTCAACTATACTAATTATTTTTATGCAATTTTCGGATCTTAGTATCAAGATAATATATGTAAAATAATAAATTTTATGTGATATAAAAATCATCCTGTATAATACAATATTATTCATTAATCATTAGTATTAGTTTTAAATTGTAAATGTTTTCTTAATAACCATTATATTGTGAATTTAATTATAACTTATTATGACGATTATAATGTTTATCATATTATATTCATGTTTTGTCTATGTCTAATTTAAGCATGGTTGTTCTCAGCCACACGTTACCGACAGGTAAGTACTGATGTAGGCCCGGGCGAGTTTACCTGTTTCCGACAGGTAGTACTGAAGTAGACCCGGGAGAGTTTACATGTTCCCGTCAGGTAGTACTGAAGAAAACCCCGGGAGGTTTACCATCGGGAGAGTTTACATGTCCTTAAAATCGGGAGAGTTTACAATCGCCCATATTTATAATATAACTAGCTGATCCCGTGCACTTCGTTTCCCGTTAAATGCGCAAACTCTATATGACTCAAACTTTGTTAGATTCGTTATTTAATATTCTTTGTATGATGTTCAACATTTATCTTACTTTCTGTTTGCCCGGAATAAAAATTCTGATTCGCAGAGTATATTATCAGATACGCAATATACCTGCGGTAGATCACGGACCCCGTGCTGTTTGTACGTAACTGTATAATGTAACTCTAATTTATCAGAGTTATACCAAATATGGCACTGAACTCCTCCTAAACGGCTGGACTAATTGTGAATGCCGAGTCTGTAAACCAATATTTCCTCCTCGTCCACGAAGACGTGGGATTGTTGTATGTACGTAACTTATATATGAGTATAATACGCTCAATTTTTACGTAATTGTGATACATATAATATCAAAACACACGGTACAAAAAAATTTAATGCATTGAATGAATACATTGATTTCACGGCAACCAATAATTATTATTATGATAGTTTTAAAACTCATGGCAACCATTTATAAACAAAAATGGGTAGTCAGCCAACTAGTTGTTTGCATAATATGATGAGATCCGGAATACAGTTGGTCGGCACTATCGTGAGTCGATCGTCACGAATAAAATGCTGCACCAAGCACATTTGACGTCGGAAGACGTACGACTGTATCGGCCGGATCTATATATTATGTACGGCGCTGGTCAGATCGGTTCGGTCACAAGGGACACCGGTTGCAATAATGTACAGTTACATAATTGCTCAAACGAATCTTATTTATGACCCGCGTATTCGTCAAAAAATTAATAAATAAGCACGCGACGACAGAACGATGTGGGTGTGGCTTCGAGAGCAGCAGCGGCCAACCAGCGTTATCCGTAGCCGTTCCAGCGCCTCACTTCCTTCAATACAGGAATATCTGTTATTCCTGAATCAGCGGTGTGTAACCCTAGAGTCCATTGAGACAAGATCTAACTATGGCAAGGTTGCACTGTCAAGCCCATATGCCACCAACACCAAACAATTAGCACCAAAAAAGAGATGTTACAAAACCGCCTTTGCAGCTACTGACAAATCAGTTTCATCATGCACGTTATGCAACGGCCAGCATGCGTTGTACGCTTGCCAAGGATTTTCGGGAATGCCCGCCAGCGAAGAGAACACGTGAGATCGAAACGGCTGTGCTACAACTGCCTCCGCCCGGACCATATGTCAAGAATATGTTCGCGTGGTTCTTGCAGGACATGCCGAGGCAAACAATACACCTGGCTGCATATCATGGCCTCAACGGAGGTTCAAGTGGCAACAGCCTCAAATGCTATTGAATCATAACAATAGCAATTACAGCAGACCGCGGTGCTCCTATCAACCGCCGTCGTACTTGTCTCCAGCCCTTGGAGTTCAACCCATTCAGCACGCTCATTACTCGTTTCCGGCTCACAATGCCTCTTTATAACTTCACGTTTGGTCAAACGCCTGGGTTTGCAAGGGAGAAATTCTTCAACGTCAATTATCGGAATAATGCAGTAAAATTATCAATCTACACGCAGTGTCCTATGCCATATTAAATCCAGGGTCAGCACCTTTTGTACAATCCTAGAATTCATCGTAATCCCAAAAATTATTTTAGAATTACCAGTTCGGTCTCCTACAAACTCAATACAAATACCAGGGGACATACAACTAGCTGATCCTGGTTTTTGGACACCCGGTAGTGTGGAAATGCTACTTGGAGCGGAAATCTTCTACTAATTAATTCGTCCTGGCCAGGTCAAACAAAAGTCAAATCCACCATTGTTATTTCAGAATACTTTGCTTGGCTGGATTGCATCAGGAAACATCAGCCAATCTAATTCCGAGGAATCAACGGCTACTGCGGCAATGGCTCTTGCCACCGATAATTTGGATCAAACCATCCAGAGTTTTTGGGAACTGGAAGAAGTAAATCAAGTGCATAAACTCACTGGAATCGAGTCACGTACAGGACGCATACAAGGCGCAACGCAGACGGGCGCTACACAGTGCCACTACTGGTTGACTACGAAAAATTGAACTCTATCGGTTACACGCAGGGTATGGCTAAAAAATGATTCTACATAATGGAAAGACGTATGCCGTGCAACCCCAAACTGCACAAGGGATATGTCCACTTCATGCGGGAGTACATTAACCTTGGTCATATGAAGGAAGACCCTACATCAGGCCAGACGCATCAGCAGAAGGTATTCCTGCCGCATTATAGCGTCATCAAGGCTGACAGAGAAACAACGAAGCTCTGAGTGGTGTTCGATGGATCCGCAAGAGGTACCAAAGGTTCAGCCCTAAACAACGCATTATTGGTGGGACCAAAGGTACAGGACGATCTCTTTGCAATCACTGCTCGGTTCAAGATTCACCGGTATGTCTTCACCGGGGACATGGAAAAAATATATCGACAAATAAGAATAATAAAATCACAGACTCACCTTTAAAGGATATTTTGGAGGGAGAGTCCAGAACAATCTTTAAAGGTTTTTACCTTGCAAACGGTTACTTACGGCACTTCCTCAGCTTCTTACTTGGCCACTCGAACCCTCGCTCAGCTCACTCAGGATGACGGTTTCAAGTTCCCATTAGCAGCCACAGCCGTCTGCAAGGATTTTTATGTGGATGACGTGCTGACGGGCGCTGATACATTGACAGAAGCTTTAGAACTGCGAGATCAATTGATCCAATTATGTGATGGCGGCAGGTTTAAACTCCACAAGTGGTGCGCAAACCATCTTTCCCTTCCGAAAAACCTCCCTCCGGAGGATCTCGGAGAAATTCATAATTTCACTCACGAACGAAACAGCAGCTCGACAAAAACATTGGGCACATATTGGCAACCCAGTGACGATGAAATACATTACACTAAGAGACTGTTCAATGACACCAACACATAGACAAAGCATAGGATGGTGTCTGAAATGGCCAGATTATTTGACCCTCCAGGGCTCATAGGGCCAGTGGTGGTTCAAGCAAAAATTCTTGTGCGTGAACTGTTGAGCGACAAAATTGGTTGGGACACCAAGCTACTAGATGACCACCATGAAAATGGGAAGAGTATTACAACCATTTGATATATGTAAAGGAAATACGAATACCCCGTCGAGTAATCCAAGTGAGTGAACACACTGATCTTCAATTGCATATATTCTGCGATTCATCTGAAGCCGCATATGGAGCCTGTGTCAACATTAGAAGCAAGGGCAGAGATAATGTCATTAGCTGTGAACTGTTATGCTCACGATCCCGTGTAGCACCACTAAAGGTCACCACCATACCACGCCTTGAACTCTGCGCTGCTATACTGGCGTCGCGCCTAGCAAACAAGATCACCGCAGCTGTACCGCTTACATTTTCAAAACGTGTGATCTGGAGTGACTCTACATGGATTAAAAATCACCAAGGTAGCAACCAGTGGAAGCAGTTTGTAGCAAATAGAGTAGCAGAGATTCAGGAGTACACCATCAGTTATTCTTGGCACCATGTAGGCACTAATGACGACCCGGCCGACCATGTCAGCCGAGGCTTAAATCCAAAAAAACTAAGAAGTTGCAACGCATGGTGGCATGGCCCCCTCTGGCTCCAGGCAATGGCCTAACGCGGAATTTGCCATGTTGGAATCAGAGATCCCTGAACACAGATCTCAAATCACCATCTCCTTGAAGGTATCTACGGAGCTCAACCTGGCAATATTGTATAACCAATTAGAATGGCTACAACGAATAATCGCATATTGCTTGAGATTTAAGTACAATTGCCGAGCGAAAAACGAACCCATGTATGGATCCATTACTGTGGGGGAGCTTCAAGGCGCGCTGAATGTACTTCTAACACAGGCTCAGAAGCGGTATTTTTTGGAAGAAATGAACCTTTTAGCTCGGGGTCAACATATCCGAACGAGCAGTAAGCTGAGGTCTCTGACCCCATTCATTGATGCAGCTGGGATCCTGCGAGTTGGTGGCCGGTTACAACATGCGCATGCGAGTTTTGATGAACGCCACCCCATTATACTCAATGCCGATGATCCACTCACAAGGCTGCTAGTCGATTACGAGCATCGACGATTGATGCACGCTGAACCCCAACACCTATTGGCTTCACTCCAGCGGCGATATTGGATATTCGGTGGACGAAATGCAGTGCGTCTTCACACGCACAAGTGTATGAAGTGCTACAGATGGAAAATTAAGGCAGCTACTCAATTGATGGGATCTTTGCCAGCCGCCAGGGTGAACCCATCTCCATCATTTCATGTCACAGGCTTTGATTACGCTGGTCCAATATCCATAAGGTATGGAGGAATAAGGAGCAGGGTCCTCACCAAGGCGTACGTGGCACTTCTCGTTTGCTTTAGCACTCATACCATTCACCTAGAACTGGTATCAGACCAAACTAGCTTGACATTCCTTGCAGCACTGCGCAGATTCATATCTCGCAGAGGAAGGCCGATTCAAATCCATTCCGACAATGGGACAAATTGTATAGGAGCCAACAGATTATTGGGTGAGTTCCTAAACAATAATTCTCTAAGGAAGGGGATATTAGAATACTCACACAAAGAAGGGATAGACTGGCGATTTATTCCCCCTCATGCCCCCCATTTTTTAGGCCTATGGGAAGCCGGAGTGAAATCAACAAAGTTTCATCTACGAAGATGCATCGGAGACAGTATACATAATTTCGAAGAGCTACACACAGTACTAGTGCAAATTGAAGCGGTGCTGAATTCAAGGCCCGTGATGGCAGTTTACGATGATTCTGACAGCCTGGAGGCATTAACCCCAGGGCACTTTCTAATTGGACTTCCGTTAACGACTTTCCCAGAGCCAACCCTGCTCAATGAACCGACAGTAAATTGTAAAAGACGAAGATGGGATCTGGTTCAAAGAATGTTTCAGCAATTTTGGCTGCGCTGGCGCCGTGACTATGTTAACTCTCTTCAGCAACGACCAAAATGGTCAAGGCCCATAGCTAATTTCAAAATAGGAGATTTGGTTATACTAAAGGAGGACCACCAATCACCCCTGGACTGGCACTTAGGTAGGATCATTCAGCTACATCAGGGAGCTGATGGACTGGTCCGAGTGGCTACTATCAAAACCAGGGACAGCACTATGAAGCGGCCAATTACGAAACTGGCAATGCTACCTAACCTAACCTAACCTAACCTTAGTTCACCGGGGGGAAATATGTTCGAGCCACGCGAAGTATTTTCTTTGATGGCACGATAATTATTCTTGTGTTTTCTTAAATAAATTTATCTATTCTATAATATTTCTTAATGGCATTATATTTATGTAAAACTGACATCACACTGGGCAGTCAGCCAACTAGTCGTTTGCATAATATGATGAGATCCGGAATACAGTCGGTTGGCACTATCGTGAGTCGATCGTCACGAATAAAATGCTGCACCAAGCACATTTGACGTCGGGAGACGTACGACTGTATCAGCCGGATCTATATATTATGTACGTCGCGGGTCAGATCGGTTCGGTCACAAGGGACCCTGGTTGCAATAAACTATGTGGGCGTGGCTTCGAGAGCAGCAGCGGCCAACCAGCGTTATATATCGCTGGATAGATCCCCCGATGTTCTTTATTTTTTTACATATTAGTAATACACGTTTTGTCTACTTTTGATATGTGTATGTGTTTTCAATATTGACCTGGTAGTTAGTATTTTATTTTTTTTTTTGCTATTTTCTTTATCGTGATTATTGATTCCACCAGCCATAAACAATATTATTATTTATCACTGATAATTATAACATATAACAGGCAATTCGCTTTACAATTGATTTGTACTGTATTTTTGTAAAGAATCACTACGTCAACTTTACCCATTCCCAGCGTCAGAAAAAATGTAAAGGTAAGATACACAATGATAACACCACAGTGATAAAATAAAATAAATAATTTAAACCAGGATGGAAAATGTTTTTAAAAAACGTTAGTAAGCCGAAAAAAACGAAAACAATTAATAATTGAGTGAACCAGTGAACCTAGACTGACGGTATAAGACATATTATACACATATCTATAATGGTATTAAAAAAAAAATTAGCTATAATAAATTCCAAATTAATCATATCACAATATATATGTGGAATCTTGTTTTAAATTTTAAATCCTTAGCTATAAAAGTTGAACATTTAAAAATAATTAACTACAAAATAATTATTCAATTTTAAATTTGATAAATTTTGTCAAAATTCGATATTTAAATGCTTATAAAAAAAAATCGTGCCTAAGTATTTTTAATATTTTTCAATTACTATCGTAAAAATATATCAGGAGCCTTGTATTAATTTTTTACACTTTTTGGCAAAACAGATAAAACTTTATTGATATTTATAGAAAAAAGAACTAAAAAAATTGAAAACTGTAAATGTAGGTAAACAGCTCAAAAAGAGTAAAAATATTTTCGAAATTGTATGGTGTATAGGAAATGCTAATATAAACATTCAGTGAAATTGTCATGTATCTACAGTTATTCGTTTTTGAATTACAAAAAATAAGAAAATCGCTACATGAGAAATCGAGTGAATATCCAATGTTGTAAAAATTTGAATTTCAAACGCTCATACAAATTTAATTTGACTCTCCAGTAGAGATTTTTTTATTGATAAAGGTAGACAAACTTATGAGTAATCTTTTATTACATTTTTGAATCTTAGATTTAAAAAGAAAATTTTTTATGAATTTCTAACTCAAAATAATCTGAAAATTTTCGTCATTTTTACGTATTTTGTCAATATTTGACTTTAAATGCTTATAAAAAAAATTGTGACCAAGGATTTTTAATATTTTTCATCTGACTTTGAAACAATATACTAGGAGCCTTCTATTAAATTTTTAAGCTTTTTTAACCAACAAATAAAATTTTATTGATATTTATAAGAAAAAGAAACTAAAAAAAATAGAAACTGAAAATGTCCGTAAACAGCTCAAAATAAGTCAAAATGTTATGGTGTATAGAAAATGCTAAGGTAAAAATTCAGTCAAAGTTTCGTGTACCTACGGTAATTTGTTTAAGAGTTACACCAAAAACCAAAATCAGAATTTGTGTTAATTTCCCGGTTTTCATAATTTTTCTTTTGTTTTTCACGGCCCTTTTGAAAACTAATGCTAATTTATTTACTTTTGACCCACCAAAGTACCCACTAGATTCACTTTTCTATCAGAAAAGATACTGTTGAAGAAAATCCAAGCATTTTTACTATCCTAAAACGTGATGACAGACACAAAAAAATAAATTTTTAAAAAAAACACACATCATTGTAAAATCAATGCATTCATCGTTTCACTCAGAATCCAAAATTTAAGCGATTGCTGATTAGATAATTAAATTGCTTAATGTACCTACCTAATTTTATATTTTTAAATATATTGCAGATTGAGACTATATTATAATTTATAACCGCTCTAATACTATATATCATATATTATAAGTATAATATCACATTATCACATCATTGTTAAAACGTCTTAACAAAACATTAAAACAAAATAAGATATATAAATTGGCGGCCATTAAAATTGATAACATAGTACATAAATAGTTTTTAAATCCAAACTATAATAATATTATCAAGTCTATATTATATTATAACTACTTTTACAAAAATATTGTACGATATTAGTGTAATTTTTGTTTTTATTTTATCATCGACAAGTATTATTGATAAAACATTTTAATACTATCCAACATTGAATAACACGACGATAGAACTTTTTCACACTTACGTAAAGGTATCAAAATAAAAAAAAGGCCTATTGCACTACAACTATTATCACGATTCAGTAATATTTTTCATGACATAGAACCTTTTCATTTTCTTTACCTTACTAATAGTATTGCATGTACTTGTAACACCGGTTTTGAATAAAAAGATGCACAATTGAAAATTAAACAAATATTGTATGCAAAAAACAATTTTTGAAAAAAGTACCTATTAGAACATAATTATTCTCAGCCCGCGTATTTGAGACAGTAACACAATAGTTTAGAAATTTATTATGTTTGACATCCACCATTATTGCATAATATAATGAAGTCAATAATATGCAATAAAAATATATTATTTCGATTAGCACATATTGAAATAATAATTACAAAGGCCGCAAGATATAACAAAGAATCTAATAAAATATAAAATTGTAGTGTCACAGTGTTAGTGATTGAACTCCGGCTTGATCGATTTTTATCAAATTTTCTGTGTATAATTGGTAGGTCTGAGAATAAGTTTTAGGCTAATATAAAAAAGGAATTGATCACCTACGGGAGGTACTCAAACAGGAATTTTGAGATTTACGATAGACATTTTTGTTTATTTATAGTTGCTATGGACACACACAAATAGAAAATATTCAAATTAAAAAGTTTGCTCTGCTGTACAGTAGGTTACAAGTGGGTAACTGTATAATGGATAGTATTAAATTTGAATTCAATGATATAATATCATTGTATAAGAAAAACGATTCTGAGCGGAGACGGTATGTCAGTCTAGGTATAAGACATAAACTTATCTATGGTATTAAAGAAAAATGACCTATAATAGGTACCTATAATAAATTCCAAATTAATCATATCACAATATCCATTAGGTACTTATAATGCCGTTATACGTCAACAACCAACCCTGATATTATCATAGTCCATACTCCATAGATATATAATAGTGTACTTTAGAAGTTTCAAGTACCCACGAATTATTTTACACAATCACAACAAAATAACTAAAATAGTTATTCTAGGTTTTATTTTATGTAATTTTGTCCAAAGTTGAACTTTAAATGACTACAAAAATAAACTGTGCTTATGTATTTTTTAAATTTTTTGAAAACAGAATTAACTACTTACGTGGAATCTTGTTTTAAATTTTCAATCCTTAGATATAAAAGTTGAACATTTTATACATTTTTAATTACAAAATAATTATTCAATTTTAAATTTAATAAATTTTGTCAAAATTCGATCTTTAAATGCTTATAAAAAAAAATTGTGCCTATGTATTTTTAATAGTTTTCAACTGATATTGTAACAATATATCAGGAGCCTTGTATTACATTTTTACACTTTTTGGCAAAACAGATAAAACTTTATTGATATTTATAGAATAAAAAACTAAAAAAATTGGAAACTGAAAATGTCCGTAAACAGCTCAAAAAAAGTCAAAATATTTTCAAAATTGTATGGTGTATATTAAATGCTAATATAAATATTCAGTGAAATGTTCATGTATCTACAGTTATTCGTTTTTGAATTACAACAAAATAAGGAAATCGCTACATGAGAAATCGAGTGAATATCCAGTTGTAAAAATTTGAATTTCAAACGCTCATAAAAATTTAATTTGACTTTCTTGTAGACATTTTTTTTTTGATAAAGGTCGATAATCTAATAATGAATCTTGTATTACATTTTAAAACCTTAGATTTAAAAAGAAAAATGTTTACGAATTCTTAACTCAAAATAATTTGTTATTTTCGTGATTATTGAAAATTCCTGTTTTTCCTTAATTGTTATGTTGTTTTTCTAGGCGCTCGTGAAAACTATTGGGAAATTTTCACTTTTGACCCCCCCAAAGTACCAACTAGATTCACTTTCCTATCAGAAAAGCTACTGTTGAAGAAAATCCAAGCACTTTTACTGTCCTAAAACGTGATGACAGACACAAAAAAAATTTTAAAAAATTAAAAAATTAAAAAAAAACACACATCATTGTAAAATCAATACATTCATCGTTCCACTCAGAATCTAAAATACTATATAGTTACAATTGTTATTTAACTTCAAAAGTGGTTCTTTATCAACAATACACTCAACAAGTTCCTGGAAATAATTGGTAGCCGAACGTATTCCATTAAGTCTGGTAAATGTTTATTACGATTTTCTCTATCATACTTGATAATAATTGTAACATAATAAATAAAAAAGATTTGTAATTTATACATTATTATTATATAACAGTTTATATATTTATACAATATTCATACATAATATACGAATGTATATAATTATTATTATTATTTAATTATTATTACAATTAATAGACAGTATTATTATATATATTATATATATTATACATATGTTATTGTAATTTATAATAAACATAAATAATAATTTTGTTTCGGTTAACACTAAAACACAAAATACT